TATTCATGTACATTATCTATATAAAATGTCTATCTGCCCACTTATAATTTGATTACTATTAGTCGAACCTCAATATTTTTTTAACACTGTTTAAAGTATTTATTTCTGGAAGACTTTAGTCTAAATATTATTATGTGTTTGTAGAAATTTCCAGTAATCAAGTTGCTGAGTTTTTTTAGTACGAAAATATTTTATTAATTTCCAAAACGTTTTATAATATATTATAAATATAATAATTAAAATAATTTTATAATTTTACTATTTATTCTAACAACAAGTACAATTAAAATAACCATAACACTATAAAAATATTGTAAATATTATTCATAATACTAAAATTGTTTGAAAATAAATAACGATCAAATAAGTAGCTCTATGCTGAAGAAATTAGTTATTATTTTTTAAATAATAAGTGATAATAACGGTTTTGATCTAAAAGAATCTGTATCGAATACCATTTAGTAATATTAAATGTTTTTTATTGTAGCTATCCACCGTAACTGAGTAAGTTTAAGTGCTTCAGTTTCGTGTAAAATCAGCTAATAATACTTACTGGCCATTGGTATTTTACCTTTTTATTAGCCACTACGGAACTAGGCTATTACTGTAGAAAATATTAGAAGTCCGATTATTGTTTGATTTACGTGTCCTGCGGTGTTACGTGATGTATTATCAGCTATTATCCACTTGTAACACGTTCTTGTATTACGGTCCTTAAATCTTCAAAATTGTTACCTATACATTTAGTTTTTTTCATTAAACCCCAGGAGCTGATGTATAGCTTTTCTCTGTCTTTTGACACGTCTGAAGTGCCGAAACGTCATACACAATGATGATTTTCCATGAGTTTTTAGTTAGTGTATCTCAAGAAGCGGGTCGTTCCAACGACTTGTTACTTCTCTCATCATACTCATATATTTACGAATTATACGAGCACTGACCGGAAAATTCCAATATTATCTGTTCGCTGATGATGTTCTACGTTTCCATATTCCATGATCTGAAAATATCTAGAATAAACACCAGATTATAAATGCAAGCTATTTAATTGGCTTTATAGTTTTACCGTTAATGGTTTACTCTTGATACATTTTTATATTTTATAAATTCAATTAATTTAATTACTATAGTACTATAGTCATACACGTATAGAAAAGTTGTTAATAGTTCTACATTGTTATTTTTTACTAAAGCAAAAATGTATAAAAGTTTTAACATTATAAGTTTATAAACATTATAGAATTATTGCTTCATTGGGATATAGTTGTAAGAGACTTTATCATAAAGAAGTATGTCATTAATGAAAAAACTGATGCATCAAGGTTTCATTTGTCGTTCTTTACTTAAACTGAAAATTTGTATTGTGTTGTTATTACTTAATTTTAGTTTAATAATGAGTAAATTAATACAGCTGATTTATTATAGGTACAGGTACTCTATTTAACAAAAAAAATGATTCACACTTGAATAATTTATCCAACGATTAAGTTTTCTGAGTCACAAATATTCCCATATGAGACAATCACGAATCTTCACTTCGTAGGGAGTTTAACAAATACATTATTTAGATGAAATACGGACAATAATACTTAACTCGTTAGAGAGATATGATACACGAGCTCCAGGGGCTAACAATGTTATTGTTTTTGAAGAAAAAAAACTAGTATTTGATGGAACTTACTGACTAATCCCATAGACGTTTATTCTTGTATACGGTTGGATGAGGAACTGCCGGATGTTCCGCAAGGGCAAGCGTAACGTCACTTCCGGCCCTATTTCTTACACTTTTTTATGTTTCCAACCCTCGTCTATTACGTCGTTTCATTTCATAAAGTTAAAACATTTTGAATAATAAAAAACTATTAATAATTACTTAGTGGGTTTCACGTCAATTCCATTGACTCGATTACGATAGAGTTATGTTTCGTCTAGTTTTGTAAGAGTAGAAAAATACTGTTATGAAAATATCAATATAACAGTTATGTATTGAAAAAAAATAATATCTTTCAATCAACTATTTTACTGTTTTTATTGTTTTATAAATAAATCAAACACAGAGAGTATTTCATTTTTATCTTTATTTTAATCGAAATAAAAATACTTTATAAAGCTAAAGAAGTTTCATTTTGTATGAGATTATATCTTTTAACTCTTTTGTAATGACGGGGGGCAATAGTTTAACATTTAATTAAAAATGTTAATGGGAAATTGGCGAATAATGTTAGTGAAAATATTGTCATGTCAATCAACTAAATCGTGACGTATCTAATAAAAAAGAGACCCAGAGATTGAAAACACGTGACTGTTTGAAAAAAGCACTGTAATATTATAGCAGAGTACAAAGTAAATTATGTCGGTATTCTTGAGTAACTTTTTACTAATTCAATCCTTTAACAAAATATTATATAATTCCTGTATGTAGAAATCAACTTATTTTCTGTTTACTCTTTTATGTTCAGTTTACTATAAATATTTAGCATAACTTCTACCCACGCGTTGGTAGCTTATTTTTAAAATATTACCATTACTTAGTAATGACTAAAAGATTTTATAGTCACAAGAAGTATAGTATAATAGATGAAAATATTCTATAACGTTGAAGACTTCATTCATCAGAATAAGGTTAGATAAAGTATCATTGGTACTATATTTTAAAATAAAAATTAACATATTGATTAAAATATCCGTTCCATGAAATGTGATTTATTTATAGAGTGTTCAGTAAGTAAGGAAACGGATTTTTATTATTCTCATTGCTTGTAACAACTAACTTGTTTTTTTACTTACTAAACATTCTGATTACTATATTTTATAATCATAAATATAAAATAATATTCCTATACGAACGTTAAATTACATAGTATTCATGCAAAATATACGAAAATATAAAACGTATTCATCGTCATATAATTCATAATATTATTCGCCGAATTGGTTGTAATGTTATTGAGATACTTTTCGTCTCTTTATGTAAACAAAGAAAGTTTGCTTTCCCCTGTAAATTGTATTTTTTGAACTAATAGGATTTCTCAAATTATCTATTCATATAGATTGCGAAGACATATGTTTAATATAGTCTAACTAACACCATAAATACAAGAAAACAGCAAGTAAAAAAGAAATGATGTTAGTTTATTAAAACTTTAACTTTTCTTTCTCTGCTTTAGTGTTCATTATAATTAAGTTTATCGTAGGCGTTGAATATTGAAAATTTCAATGGTTAAATAAACATGAATGAAGTGAATTATGCATGAGTCGAAGGTGAAGATTGAAGATGAGCACGATGGAAAACATATTTTTACGACACGTGAATTTTCTTGGTTATCTCGCTCTGCAGTATAGTTGATTGTATAAAAAATGTGTACACAAATAATAATAATGCTCAATCATTTTCATTTAATACAATGCAATATAGACTTAAAATTACTAATACAAACGTTAGTAAGTCACGAGTACTCAACAAGTGACTTTTACTAATGTTTTTTCTATTGTTTCGTTTTCTTTGTGAAAATTTACGAATTAAAATACAAATAGAATTACAACCTGTAAACGGATATAATTTTAGTAGTTAGATACATCGGAAATACATTCAGTAGCAACTATTGATATCTACAAAGCAATTTATTTGCTCACTGATCTACTTAAAGAATTGATGGTATGGGGTACGACTAAGTAAGCTAATTGGAACGAACACTACAAATTATCGTTGAATTTCTATAATAGAGTATGATTGCAAGTTTCGAAAATGTTGAATTATTTGAAGTGTTTTTTAAGATTTGGTCATTTTTTTTCTATATAATAAAAATCACTAATTGTACAATGTTATTTAATTAATTTATTGTTTTTACAATAATAGTAAAAATAAAATCTAAAATTATTGTCTTTTAAAAATTACATTCATATCTTGTTTGTGTGTTACACCATAACTAATCAATTAATTTTAGACTGTAAAAAGTTCGTTCCATAAATACTTTTTAATGAATAGGTTTAAGATAGACGTTTGAATATGCACGTAAATTAAATTTTTAATGACAAGTAATTTATACTTATCAAAAAAAAACACGATTTTAGTATTATACTGTATAAATTAAATGCAGTTTAAGGGGTTTATAGCATATATAGTCATATGTTCATGCTACTGTAGAATATATTAGGGGCATGATGCACTTGAAAAAAATTCGAATCTTAAAATGAATTTCTACAAAAATTAAAAACAATAAATAGCGTATATTTAAAGAACAATTTATAAAAAGTATAAAAAAATTAAGGTTTTAGAAAATTCAATATACATTAATTAAAATTGTAAGTATTAATTAAATTTAAAAATGTTTTAGAAAGTTTTTTTATCATAAGACATAAATTTTGCTATTTTCCGGTCTGTGGTTTTATGATTTATTGATGATAATTCGTGAATTGATTTTTGCGGCAAAATATTTGATTAAAATCTAAAAACATTTATTAACTCATAAAGAGAATGAAAGTAAATTACTTTCCGAAAAGGAATTTATGATGATCTGGTTTTGTAATTATTTGTTTGATAGTAAAATAGAACAAACTGTTAACTCTTAAAATAATATTGTCCAGTACATGATAATTTTTAAAATTACTATGAGGACCTTTATAGAGGAAAGAGTGATTTGTTAAGATAAATCCGAAACGGATTTCCTGTTAATACAAATACTAACCTAAAGCTGATACACTTGAACTACTCAACAGCCACCTGTCCTATCTACACACTTTTTGTTACCCATTACTGTCATGGTCGAAGAGTGTTGAATTTTCTATTTTATTGTTTCTCTTTAATACGAATTCCCTGGGGTCAAAATATTAGAAATATTAATACAAATAAAAATGAAGATTTTTTATTAAATAATTGAATCACATAACATAAAAAAAGAATAAAAAAAAACTTTTATGATTTGAAACATATGTTAAATTTACTAGTTAGAATTTTTAAAAATAAAAATAATTTTTAAATAATAAAATTTTTATAATTTTAGCTGTTGCAGACAATCGTTGCTACTTGGAAAATGGAGGATCAGCTGAAAGTTTTTTTGTATCTGAAGATGTACCAGTTGGATCAGTTATAGGTAAATTTGTATAAAACAATAAGTGATCACACAATATAATATTTTAATTAGTGATGGTAAATATCGAATAGTAACTATCGAACTATTTGATAGTCATTCAAAAAATATTCGATAGTTACACAATATATTCGAATAGTTTTTAACTACTCGATAATCTATTAGATTATTTTTTAAAACTTTTCGATAGTTTATGCTAAAAATAAACTATTCGGTTGTATGAAAACAATTCGAATAGTTATTCGATAGTTTAAAATATTTGAAAATGCCCATCACTAATTTTAATATATAAATATGTTTTAATAATATATTATAGGTGTTCTGAAAATTAATGGAGATCCATCAGAAAATGGTAATATTCAATTAACTCTTAAGGAATCCGATAGTCCTGTATCTATTTTATCTGGTACAAAAGAACTAACTTTAACTAAACTTGTTGATAAAGAAGTAAGTTTATTTTAGCCAACTTTTTTTTAATGTTTTGAAAATACTTGTTATACTTTAGGGTATATCTGGACCTTCTTCTGTATATGTTAATGTAATTTGTGAACGGAAACATACCGGTGATCCTGTAAGTGAATTAATAATATTTAATAATAATTTTATAGCATATATTAAAACTTTCACTCTGCTAATTAATAATTAATATCTGATATAATTTTTAATGATTCATTTTTCTCATTTTTTTTAGAATTATGCTATTCCTGTGAGTATAAGAGTTACTGATGCTAATGACAATGCTCCAATATTTGTAAACTCGCCATATGTACTTAATATATCTGAGGTAATACTGTTTTACTTGAGTATTATCAAAAACTGAATATTCAAAAAAATATTATAATTATTTAGGTGACCGTTGTTGGGACGAGAGTGTTACAAGGAATAAAAGCCATTGACGCTGATCAACTTGGTCCATTTTCTACCGTTCATTACACTGTACTTTCTGGTCCACATTCTGTTAGTATCTTAGTATTTCGTTATATTCTCTCTTAAGTGATATTTAATATAATTATCAATTTTAAAATGCACTAGACGTGAATACATAAAAAGTTAGTAGAGCCCACTACATCGCTTTATAGGAACTATTTAGTTTGTTGTATATAAAATATATATTGTTTTAGCTTCGATGCGAAGCTGAGAAGGTATTAATTTTACCATGATGTGTTTATTTTTTTTTTTTTTTTTTTTTTT